ATAAATATATTAATATATAAATATAAATATATTATTATATATATATAAATTTTTATATTTTATATATATTTTTTTTATATATTTTTGAATTATTTATTTATATTTTTTTTTTTTATTATATTTTTATATCTATTTATTATTTTTTTTTTTTTTTTATATATTTAAATATTTTTAATATTTTCTTATTTTTTTATTTTGTTTTTTTATATTTTTTTTTTTATAATAAAGTTTTTTTATTTTACTTAATTTATTAGAAATAATTAATATATTATTTTATACTTATAATATTAATTATATGAAATATATATTATTATAATTCTATAATTTATTTTGACTTTTTATTTAATATATTTTTTTAATTTTATTAGTTTTTATCAATTATTTTAGAGATTGCATATACTGCGTCTTTATTTTTATTAATTTTTGGACTCTAAACCTTAAAATCATTTGTTATTCCTTTTTTTATAATTATTTTATATTACCTTTTTTTAATATTTTTATTTAAATCATTTCTATCAAAAACCTTGTTTTTTATTTTTATACTAAAATTAAAAATATTAAATTTTTAATTATATTTATAATTTATTTATTGATTAGATAATTTAATAAATATTTTAGTGATATATATTTTATATAACTTCTTTAATAATTTATAAATTTCATCTATATACATTTTTTTTTCTGTCATTTTATTTAAAATTCTAAATCAGCTAAAATAAATTGCAAAAAAAAGAAATATACTTTTTTTTGAATAAAATTTTTAAAAAAATTACATATTTTTTAATAAATTAAATACATATATAAATATATCTTATATTATATATATATATATACTTTTGTTTTCATGGTTGATATTTTATTTTAAATAATATAAATAAAATCTTAATATAAATCGTATCAAAATTAAATATTATTAATTTTAAAAATAGTATATATTTTCATTATAATATAAATATTATTTATTTAAATTTTTTTATTAAAAGCTAAATAATTATAAAAAAACCTGATATCTATCAATTTTTTTTGTCTTTTTGTTGTTATTGTTAAAGATTTATAATAAAAAAATTAGACAAATAATAATAACTTAATTTAATATAAATATTATTATATTTAAAAATAAATATATAATATTATTAATATCAAAAATTATAATATTTTGGATATTAAAAAATTAATTTAATTTATGTATTTATTATTAATTAATAAAGATAAATTTTATTAATTTAATATATAATACTCATTCTATTTTGAAATACAATCGAACTCCCAAAAATTAAATTAAAAAAAAAGAAATCAATCATCTACTCATAAAAATTAATAAAATAATAATTTATGTTAAAATTTTTATATATTATTTTTATTTATATTATTTAATTATATGAACTCTTATTATTGACATTAACTTATTTGTTAAAAATTTAATATGTACTATAATTAAATATTTATTTTTTTAATCAATCTATATTTTATTTAATATATATAAATTTAATAAAATACAAATAAAACTTTATATATATATATTTACTAATATAAATGTTTTTAAATATATCCATTTTTAAGTCATCAATTATACTTAATATAATTATTTGAAGGGAATTTATAATATGTGTTATTAAAATTTTCTTCATTTATTTATTTCTAAGCCTCCATTTTAATTTTAGCGTCTTGTTATTATTATTTAATTTACAAATATTATTCAATTTTAGCTTCTTCTTTATCTTCTTCAAAACATTATTAGTTGATTAAAATACTCTCATATCAAGTTCTTCTTCTTCTATTTAAGCAGTAACTTACATACCAATAATTTTATCAATAACATATAAAATTATAATATGTAAAAAATGATCAAGATGCTGTTCCAATGATGAATATAATTTGTTTTCCTAATAAATAATGATTTTCATAGAAAGCACCACCATTATGACTATTTTGGTTAATATATGGATTAATTTAATTTTTAGAAAATAAGTCTATATCAATAACTCCCCATATTCATTAAAATCCTATGATAACCGAAAGCATCAAGTATATCATATATTTATTAATTAAGAAGTTTATTTTTATCATGACAAAAGAAGAAAGAAAAAAAAAGTTCCTGATTCAATTCCAATAATCGAAAATTCTCACATACAGTTACAAAGTCATATCCTGAAATAATTATAACTACTGTAAAGTTTCTTTTTTTTTTAAAAAAAAAAAAAACTATTTTTTATAAATTTTTAAATTATAAATAACATTTTTTTTTAATGTATTTATATTTAAAACTAATATTAAATAAATTAACAAAAACACATTTAAATATTTTTTATTAATTTTATAAAGAATATGCAAAAACTCAACTGCAATTAAATCCCAAAACAAAAAGCATTTTCTCAAAAAAGTTTTACAAAAGCATTCATACTATTCTTGGTATTGAAGCCGATAAATTAGTAGATGTAAAAACTACTGTAACTTATTCATTTGATGCAAGAGTAGATCTTCCATTTATATAAACGATAAAAGAACAAATCCTCTTAAAGTGCAATTAAGCATATCAAATGTTGCTTTTTAGCATTTTATTTTTTTTTAATTGATTTCTGACTTTTTTTTTATTTAGTTTTATATAAAATTAAAAAATATATGACAAAAAAGTAAATTATGCCTTCACTAATTTTTTTCTAAAAAATTGGATTCTTAATGGGATGATTAATATTAAAATAAAGAAATTTTAAATATTTTTTTATAAAAAAAATAAAATAAAAATGATATATTTTTAATAAATATATATAATTCTAAATAAAAATTTATTAAGAAAAAAAGTTATACATATAAATTTTTAATATATGGAGTTAATGAGTATTTTTTATTCTAGTTTTAGAGTAGTTTATATATTGCAAGGTATTATAGCGCCTTATACTTTTCCATTCTCAAGTACTATTGCAGCATCTAAACCTGTAAATCCTCTTGATATATATATTAAATCGCCTCCTGCAAAATATAAACTCCTAATTTATAGGACCATACATTTAAATTCCATATTCAATGGGCGGGTGATCGTAGAATATAATATTAAGGTCTGTATTATAATGAATAATAATAAATGTATAAAATTTAGTCTTTCTAAAATTGAGCATATTATTAATGTTGGAGTAATTCCTGAAAAATTCAATTAAGAAAATCATAAAAATATAAATGAAATTTCTGCTCCATAAGTAGAAAATATTTTATAAACTGAATCCTTCTAATGCTAATTCTAAAATTTCTGAAAAACATTAAATATTTAACTAAAAACAAGAGTATATATAATAATATCAAAAACCAAAGAATTGTTATTAATGCAAAAACTATGAAACAATATACGATTTTAATTAAAATATTTTTCTTATTCAAAATTTCTAGATAAAAAAAAATACCGGATTTCATAAAAATTAGTAATGCTAATGATGATAAAATAAATGATATATTTCATTTATCGAATATAGTAATTAAAAAAATTTATTTAAATTAATTATTTATTAAAAATTAATTTTAATTTTAAAATAAATTAATATAAATTAGAAGAAATTATTATACATTTTTATTTTGTTAAAACAATGATTTTAAAAAAAAAAATTAAAATATTTATTTATAAATAAAATATAAAAAATATGATTGTTTATATAAAAATATATAAATATATATATATATATATATATATATAAATATATTTTTATATATATATTTATATTCAATATTTTAATTTAATTTATTTTATTCCATAAAATATAATAAATTATTTAATTTATTAATTAAAAATAAAAAGTTTAATAATTATAACATAACATATTAATTTTATAAAGATAGTTAATAATATTTAATTTCTTATATAAAATTATTTTATAATAATTAATTTTTATATATAGATCATATATTTATTAATAGAATTATATTTTATTTTTTATTAAATATTAATATAAATAAAAATTTTATGATAATATATATATTTTCCTGTTAACATAATTAACTAATTATATTTTAAATAATTAAAAATTATATTAAATTATTTAATTTTTTAAAAACTTTATATAAATAAACATATTTATATTTATAAAAATAATCTAAAACGTATGTTAAAAATATATTTAATAAAATAAAATAAACATTTATTTATAGTCAAAATATAATATTAAATACAAAAATAAAAAATATCACTTTTTTGTTTTACCTTTTTTATTACTTTTTTTTTTTTTTAAAGGATCTTATTCATATGTAATCCACATTGTTTTAAATTCCGGTAAATAGCTTATACCTTACTTTTTACACTTTTAATAATTTCTAGCTACAGTGGAAGTTCTGATATGAAACTAGCCGATTTCTAAATCAAAAATTGCATAAGATAATTCAAAATAAGTCGCTGCTTCTAAATTTCTATTTAGTCTCATCATAGAACATCCTATATTATTATAAACAGTTGCAGTTTCCATATTATCACCTCCTATAGCATATTCTCTTAATTCTCTAGCTTTTAAGAAACATCTTAGTGCCAAAGTATATTCTTCCATTCTATAAAATGCAGTTCCTAATCCACAATAAGGTAAAGCTTTATCTGGTGAGTCTAAAGAAAGCTTATCTGCAGGATATTTAGAAGAATAAAAGGATGATAAAGCTAAATCTTCCCTACCAGCGGATAAAAAAAGAGATCCTTTAAAATAATCAAAGAAAATTTCATTTGCAATAATAAGTTCGTTTCTTTATTCTATATTTAACCACATATCATAACAAGCATTAATATCTTCTAATGCACATTCGAAATTCGATTATGCTTAATTTAATATTGCAGCTTCTAAATATTTCTAAGGTTCTGCTGGAGTTTAAATTGGGTATATCATCTTTTTTATTTATTTATTAATATCTTCTTTTTTTTTTTCATATAAATTTAAAATAATACTTCTTCTAATATTATTGGTAATGGTTCTATATGACTCATAGTTCCGCTTCTTTTACTTATTTCTAAAGCATTTTTAAATTCTAAATTATCATTCAATTCTTGGAAATAATCGTAAGTTTTTTTCGGTAAAGGTTAAGGTTTACCTGCCCATATTATTTCTCGTTCCTCTTCTTCACCTTTTTTTTTCTTTTTTTCTTAACCTTTTTTATCTTAAGGCTTTTTTGCATTTTTATCCACTGGAGGTTTTGGTGGTTATTCTCCTATTACTTTTGGGGGTACTTTTGCGTTTTTACCATCTAATCCTTATGGCTTTTTTTTTTTATATATAAATAATTTAATATATATACATATATTACCATATATTATGGAGGAATAGGCTATAATTCATTATCTATTTGTCTAATAATAAAATCAAGGTCGTATTTTGGAGTTATATTTTCCCCAAATTTATAGTTTTTATCAGCTAATTATTGAATTTTATTATTATTTTCTGGATTCGTTTCTTTTTCTAATTAAATAAGTTCATTTTAGTTATTTGTTTTGGTAGTATTATTCTTTTAGGAAATCTTATTTTCTGTATCTTCTTTTTTTTTGCAAAAAAGTCTATATAAATAAGTCGTGGAGTTTTTATTGATTTTATTTAAATATTCCCAATCATTTTCTTAGCTATTTTCTCTTATTTATAATATGTTTGTGAAATATTTTTTTATACAATCATATAAATCTTTTTCTATATATATTTATTTCAAATAAATATATATTAATTTTTACCTTTTTTTAATTATTCTTTAGGTGTTCTATCTAGAGCTATTCTACCTAAAATCATTAAAAATTCAAAATAACTAATTTTTGGGTCTCCGTCAATTTTTTAGGAAATTTATTTTTTTCCAATATCTCTTTCTGACATTTTCTTTAATTATTCTTATGAATAAAAATTAGTCTCCTATTAATTATGTGCAGGTAAAATTCTCATTTAAATTTCTTAATAACTATCTATAGATAAATTTTAAGGTATAATATTAGAATCCATAAGAAGCTTTAATATACAAATAGAATTTAATTTTTTATTTAAAATATCTATTTCTTCCCAACTTAGCATGATTTATTATTTCTCGAGGTTTTCTCCCATATAAGCTGTAAAGAGTCGCCTTAAATCATTCTCAAATTCTAAAATGGCTTATATGGTTTATTCATTTAGTAATTTTTTGCCTAATTCATCATATATTATTACACGGTTTTGAACTTGTTGTTTTCCTGGGGAATTTTTTCGACGGGTATTTAATTGAACTACCTCTATTAATATTTCTTAGATGTATTTTTCAGTAGGTTTTTTATATCCTGGATAATATAATTTCGATATTTCTAATAACATTTATTAAAATTTATATTTTGTAAGTTTCCCTATTACTGCTTCTTTGACTTATTCTTATTATATTTTTTTGCGAATGTCTATTTATGGTTCTGGCTTTTTTTCTTGTATAAGATCTAAGTTTACGTATTTTTAATATATTTCTAAATATGTTTTTAATCCAAAACTGTTACGGATTAATCCTTTTTCTGCTAACAGGAGAATCAATTCTGCAAATTTCATATGATTCGATTCCTTTATTTTTTTTTAGAATAATATTGGTATTTATTATTTACTATTTTACAAGTTTAAGTATATAATTATTCGATTTTTTTTTCTTCAGATTATGAAAAATTATACTTTACTTCCATTTTTTATAATTATATTGTAATTTTTTATTATTTATATATTATAATACATGTATTAATTATAAATTAAATAATATAATAACGAAAATAAAAAATATTATTTTTTATAAATAATATTTCTATTGATTTTTTTTTTATATTTTTTTAAATTTATATTATATTTTATATTTTCCATTGATTAATTATTATTTACATTTTTTATTACAACATAAAAATAATACTAAGTTTAATATATTTATTTAAATATAGGAATTAAATAATTTAAGTGACAGATATTCAAATGATGTTGTTTTTAATATAATTATAATTAGATTTATTTTAAAATATGAAAATTTATTAATAATAATAGTTTTATTTTTTATTTATTAATAAATATAACATTTAGTAAATCTAAAAATGATAATAAAATATTAATTTTGAAAACTAAAATATAATAAAAAAATATGTAAAATATATAAAAATTCATTGAGATATTTAATTTATTGATTATTTATATTTTTTTGAATAAAATCATAATTTATATAGAATAAAAAACATATATAAATATAATTATGATATAAAATTAATATTTTTATATGTTAATTTTATTTATTTATAAGTATTATTGACTTTATTAAAAAATAAATATTAATTAATTTATATAAAATAAAATTTCGAAATAAAATAAATAAAATGAATAGAAAAATTATATTATGTTTATTTTGTTTAATAATTTTGTCATTTTAAAATGATATTTAGTAATCAAAAAATTAAGATTAAACTAACGAATAAATAAAATAAGAAAAAGTAGAATCATAAAATAAATCTAGTACAAATATTTTATATGATATAAAAAAAAATATATTAATTATATATATATAAATAAAAATCAGAAGAATAAAAAAATGAAACATTAACTGTAAATAAAAACACGGAAGAAAATTAAAATAAATAAACTTAATAATAAGATGCTTAAAAATAATAAACTTAGAAAAAAGAAGAATAAAATGATAAAGAACAAGAACAGCCAGAAAAAAATGAAAATAAAGAAAATGTAAAAGAAAAAAATGAATAACAAAAATAATCATAAAAGGAACAATAATAAAATGAACAATAATAAAATGAACAATAATAAAATGAACAATAATAAAAAGATGAATAATAAAAAGAATAATAATAAAAAGAGCAATAATAATAAGAAAAATAATAATAAGATAAATAAGAATAAAAAAAAAATTAATAAGATAAATAAGAATAAGAAAAATAATAAGATAATTAATAAAAAGATAAATAATAATAATAATAATAATAATAATAATAATAATAATAATAATAATAATAATAATAATAATAATAATAATAACTAGATAAAAATATTTAAAATAATATGCCAGAATAGTAATAATAATAATAAAAAAATGAAACAGATGAAAAAAATTAAAATATTATTATTTAAAAATAATTGTCAAATACTTCTTCAAAATTTACATTTATTTTGAATTTTTTAGGATTTATTACTGCTTTGTTTGCCTTTAGTATAGTCTTTTATAGATATAAACTTAAAAAATAAAGAATTACTCCATTTAGTCCACCTAGTTTTTGCCCTAATTTTATTTATCCGAGACCTGAAAATCAAACACATGAAGATTATTATTATATGTAATAGGTTGATATAGAATTGAATAAAATTAAAGATTGAAATAAATCGTAGAAAAACATTTATTTAAAAAAAAATAAAAAATTGCCATTATTCATTTTAAATTTTATTTAATATTTTATATATTAGTAAAAATAATTTATATAAATAAATAATTTCTTTGATGATTTTTTTTATTAAATAATATTAATAAAACTATGATACTATTCAAAATAGTTATAAGTAAAAATATATTTTTATAAATTAAAAGAAAAATTTATTAAAAATTATAAATATTGAAAAAATGTTTTATCTATATACATTTAAAATAAAATAAAAAAAATATAATATAAATAATAATTGTAAATAAAAATTATTATAATTATTATTTATAAATATAGTATATAAGAGAAAAAATAATAATATTATAAAAAAATTAGATTAAGTATTATAATCTATACATTTTTAATAAAATTTAGAATTAATAAAAAATAGGTATTTATATTTAAGAAAAATAATAAAATAAATAAACATAAAAATATTAATAATAAAATTAAATTATAATAAAACTTTAAATATAAATATTTTTATATAAACAAATATCCATAATATAAAATTTAAAATTGATTAAATATTTTTATATATAATTTATTAAAAATTAAGAATAAATTTATACGTATTTTAAATAAATAAAAATAAAAAATTAATATTTTATATTTTATAAATATTATTAGTTTAGAAATAAATATTCAAACTAGTTATAAGCAAATTATAATTTATTTCTAAAATATATAATATATAAGAATTATTTTAATAATTTATTAATCATTTAAAATTTATTAATTACATAATAATATTAAATATTATATTTTATGATTATGTTTTATAATATTTAAATATATATATTTTTTAATAAAAAAGATTATTAGATTTATGCTTTAAAAACCAATATTTACACCATTTTAAATTAGATAAACAAATTTATTTTAAAGAAAAAAATAAATAAAATAGTTTATAATTTTTTAATTTTAAATTAATTTAAATATTGATAAATCCAGATTTCCAGAATATGTTTAAAAAAATTATATTAGTAAAATCAAAAAAAAAAAAAAATATAATTTTTATATAAATATGAATAAAATTATAATAAAAATATTATATTAATAACTTAAATATTATTATTTTTATTTTATAATGTGTAAAAATCTTTAATTAAAAAAAAAAATATGTTAAAATAATAATTTAATAATATAAAAAATAATATAGAAAATATATTAAAATTTCTATTATTTGATAAAAAATATAATTGTAATATTATATTGATATTATTTATAAATAAGTATTTTTTTATAATAAATAAAAATTTATTTCAATAAAAAAAAAAAAAAGTCTAAAATACTTTTAAATTTATTATAAAAAAAATATAATAAATGAAAATAATTAATTAATAATAAATAAAAAATAATAAAGAATTTTTTATTTATTATATATAAATTAAAATAGATATATATATTTATATATAAATGTATATATTTATATATTTATATATTTATATAATTTTATATTTTTTATATATATATATTAATTAATTTTATTTAATATATACATATATCTATTTATAATTAATTTTGTATATGTAATATAAAAAAATCATTAATTATAATTTTTACCCTAATATTAATTATAATTTTTTTATATATTTTAATTATTTATTTTATTTTTAAATATATAATATTTTTTCTATTTAATTTTTTTTATTTTTATATTAATATTTTAAATAACGAATATTTAAAAAATTTCATTTTAACAAATAATAATTTATTATATTTTTTTTATTTAAATAATAAAGTTAAAGATATTATAAATGATATTTAATATAATATATAAAATAAATAGTATAAATATAAATAATTTAATATTTATATTTAAATTATTTAAAATATATTTTAATTAATATATTTATGTTTATATATAATAATACTTAAAAATGAAAATATTATTTGTAAATGGCTTTTCCTAATAAAAATAAGGATTAAAAAAATTTTTAGATTTTTAATATTAAATAATAAGAGTAAATTTAAAAATAAATAAAATATAAGATAACTTAAATTATTTATTAAAAAAAAAAAAATATAATTTTTATTTTTTTACAGATTTTTTAAGAATAAATATTAATAATTGACACAGAAATAGAATATTTTGTTCGAGATAGAAATAATCTTGATGATTTTTTATATGAATTAGAAAATTCATTATTAAAAAAAGAATCTGCTTAAAATTTCGATAGTCTAGATATGATATTTATCACAGGAGATACTAATGTTAGACCATGGTCCAGTTCTATGATAAAAGTACATATAAAATTTAAAAATGTTGACTTTAAAAAATAAATAAAAAGATTTTAACTTTAATAAGAATGTGTATTAAAGCATAAAAAATTTTATTTACTTGCTCTTTTGGAACATAGGCTTTAGTTTATTTATGTGCATCTAATTTAGAAATAAATATAAATGTAATAAATGGATAAGGCAATGGAGGGAATATAAATGAAATATATATTCTTAATTTACCTTTAAATAAAATAAAATAAAATGATTATTTTCTTGACAATACTACAGGAGATTTATATTTATTTAATTATTAAACAAAAGATTGGTATCCTAAAGGAAATTGTGGTCTACATTATAGAAGAAGCACTTCTGAATATTAATCTTTAGGAAAATATATAGTTAAAGTAATTTTTGTTTATTTAAATTTTTGTTATTATAAAATAATATAAAAGGCTCCAACATACGTCCCCAATATTGCTCACATATAAACTTATTAATAATATAAAGCAAATAAAATGGAAGAAAAATGCATAATAAAAAAGCATTATTACCATCATTATTTATTTGATGATATGGAAAAAGAATTTATTGTTTTATTAAAAAATAGTTGGGATATTCATAGTTTTTAATTCACTAATCCTAAAAAAACATTTATTATTTTAGCAGAAAGTACAAGAGGACCTTTAATTATTGAACATAAAAATATTATAGGGACTATGTTTTAAGTTAATTCTTAATACCGTAGTACTATAACTCTTATAAGGAATTTCATATAAAATAGTTTAAAATAAATTTAATCGAATAATGTTTAATCTGTAAACTTAAGTCTTATATTTAATTAAAATACTATTTTTATTTTGTTTTTTTTAAGGTTAACATTAGAGATGTTGTATTTTAATCAAAATATAATAGTAATGAATAAGTATTGTTAAAAGCTAATTAAAATTTTCACAAAACTATTTAATTAATGAAAGAGAGAGCCTCTAAGTTAGGATTTTAATCATATTCTTTTAAAAAAAAGAAGCTAGTTATTTTTTTTATTATTTAAAAGATTATACTTATCATATGTTTTTAATAAATTGAAAAGCCAAACGAAGATAATGATTTCGAATTTATGCATGTTGGGTTTACGGTAAAAAAAAATCATATTCCAGAAATAGTATCTCGAAATGCAGTCTAGGGAAATAATCTAAAAATATAAAATGAAAAAAAAAAAGTTTAATCAAGTAAAATATTAAAAAAATTAATTCGATTTTTATGAAAAAAAAATATATTAAAGTGCATTCTACTAAATAAGTAATAAGTGAAAAAAATTATAAATAAAAAAAAGTAATAAGAAATAGCATAAGTGATTTAATTAGTGTATCAAATGAAAAAAAAAAGTAAGTAGATTTTTTTTTTTTTTTAAATACTTAAAATTTATAATCATTTATTAAATATAAGTAAAAATGAAAATATTTAAGTTAGTAGACAAAGTATTAAAAATAAATAGTCTATAAGATAATAGCTCCATCCAAGTTTAGATGCATAATTTCTAGAAAACGAAAAACTATGGGTTTGTTTTTTTATTTATTAATTTAATGTAAAATTTAAGGTACCAGGAAATCTTACTTAAACTAAAAATAGCAAAAATGTTTTTTTCTAAAAATAAAGTATTATTAATTTAATTTTTGGTGAATATTTTTTTTTTTTTTAAATAATAGAATTATTATAAGTTATTAAATTTGATAATGTAATTTATATAAAAATTTCTATTATTTAAGATTATATAAATATATATATTTATATATACATAATAATGAAAAATAGAATAAATCAATATTTTCTGATTAGCCATATAAATCATAAGAAGAATTAACAAAAAATTATCAAAAAGTACGTTATATTAACTTATAACTTATATATATATATAATATTCATAGTAATAAGATTAGAAAATTCTTTTTCATAAAACATTTAAAATTACAAAACATTTGTAAAATAATAACGAAAGTTAATATTTTCTAAATAAAGAAGAACAATACTATTCGCCCATTTAGGCTTTTAGAAACGAAAGTAAATAAAAATGGCTTTCAAAAGATTTTAAGATATATTGATATTAAAAGAATTAATTAAAAATGTAAATAATTTAATTTTTATGAGTTAGTAACATTTAAAATAAATGTATATATACAAATATATATATATTGTAAACTTTATGGTAAAAATAAGCATATACTAAAATATAAAAATTAATTAACTATATAGTATTTTTTTTAATTTCAATAATTCAAAATATAATATGAATTTTTATTAATCATTCACTATTATTATTATTAGTTATTTATAGCTTTAGCTTTTTGTTTAAGCAATGATTAATTAGCTTCGTAAATTTCATCATAAATATTGTTTTGTATTTTTTTTTTTAATCATAATTTTAAATTGGGGATTCAATAAGTTAATCACGACTAAAAATCTTAATATTATTCAATGAAGATTATTTTATTTAATTTTATATTTTTATTGAATCATTTTTAATGTTATTATTACAGTTTTGTTAATTATTATTTTCATTTAATTAATCACTTTATATTTTTGATAATTATTAGTTTGAATTTATATATAATATATTGTAATTATCCTTATATATATCAGCATTTGGAATAAAAAAATCTACTTTTTCCTAAATCGTATTCTCTTTTTAATTTTCCTTATGATATTATTTAAAATCATCACTAATAGGTATTGGATTTACTCTTTATTTAATTTATTAGTTCATAGTTTTTTCTTGATTGTCTACTTAATATTATGTATTTTTATTTTCTATTTCTTCATATTCTATATCACTTTCTGATTAACTTGAAATATCTTATTCAAAATCTTTATTAATACCAGAATTTTCAAAATTTTCTTAATTCTAAATATAATAGTTTTTCCAACTTTGAAAGCACATAGAGACAAAAAGTTAAGTTACTAAAGGATTTACGATTTTACATTATTATTATTTAATTTTTATTCTAAATTTATAATTACTTTTTTATTTATATTTTTTAATTTAAAACATATAAAATATAATTTTTACTTTTCTTTTTAACATAGCTATTTTTTTTTAAGTTATATATTCTGATTTTTTTATTATTTATAAGCCTTTTTATTATTTCTGTAATTCTTCTTCAGTAATTGTAGGAGGTAATTATCCATATATATTATCATACAAACTATATTTTAAAAAATAAAAAAAAAGTTACATTAAAATAAAGATATCCTTCGTTATTACAAATAATATCCATTTTCATAATTTATTTGTTAGCTTATTTTAATTAAAATAATTTAAATTTTTCTTTCTTTTTCTAGAGATCTTCTTTATTAATATCTGGAAAACATTATTTTAATTAAGAAATGTATTCTTTCTTTTTAATTTTAAAATCTATGATTAAATTATAATTATGGATAATATTATATATATATATATAAATATATATACTTATATATAATTATATATATATTATTAAATATATATATATATATTTATATATTATTTTTAAATATAAATCTTTATATATTTTACTTTCTATATATTTATTTATAAATTTATTTAATTATATATAATTTTTTATATATTTTTAGTTATATATATACCATATCCTAATGGTTCTTACAGTTTAAAATATAATTTAGAAATATATTTTTCATTTATTTTAATTCCAAATGTATCCTTTGTATATTTTACCCATTAAAATTTAAAGTTTTTTTCATATTCAGAAAAATGATTTAAAGGATTATCTTTATTAATGTAATTTTATTCAAATTAATCAATAATAATTAACACGAAAAGATTCATCATTACAAACTATACTGTGATAATAAAACTGATAAAAAATATGCAATTTAAAGGATTACCTTTCATTACATCAAACATATAACTTGGCCAGTCTTCTCCTGTACTACAAATAAATAGAAGGATTATAGATTTGTGGAAATTTTCAAAATTTTGAAATTCATTAATCACTTTTCCAGTTTTTATATTCAAAAATAGGTGCACTGCTAAAATAGCAAATATAAAATATACCAAAAATAAAAGTGCAACAGCATTTAATAATGAGGGTAGTGAAAAAACTGCTGTTTAAATAAGTTTGTTCAATCCTTCAAAGCTTTTTATTAATCTTAAAAGTCTAGTTACTCTTGAAATTCTAAATATACGAGCTATTTAAGGACCAATTTTTAAAAAAGAAATTACTTTTTTTCCTGAAAACGTCAAAAAAATATCAAGTAGAGAAGCCATAACTACAAAAAAATCGAATTGATTCCAGCTATCGTAAAAGTACCCTCTGATTCCATATGCAAATAATTTTAAAATAGCTTCAGAAATAAATACAGAAGTAAATGATAAATTAATTATATTCATAATATAATCATATTCAACGGGAGATGTATCATAAGCAAAAGCCATAGCTATAACATTTAATAATATACAAATCATGACAAATGTTTAATAAATTGAACTTTCGCAAATAATCCAAATCTTTTGTATAAAAAATTATATTAAAATAGAAAATAAATATATATATATATATATATATATATATATATATATATTAATATATATTTATAATTATATAAATATTATAATATATTTATATATATTTATTTTTATATTTAAATTAATATCTTTTATTTTTTTATATATATATTTATTCATTATTATTTTTTACAAATTTTCTTATTTTATTTTCTGGATGACGTAATGATGTATAATCAGGTTTTGATTTTATTAATAATCGTTATAATTCTATCCATTATGCTTATTCTTCTGTTAAAAATTCATTTTTGGCTTTTTCTGCCGCTAAATTATAATTTAAAGACATAATAGCGACAAACAAATTTAATAAAAACATGGATCCTATTAGTATAAATACTATAACATATATAATAAACCAATAATAATTGTCTTTTTTTGGTCCATTTTCATCAGCATCTACAAAATTCCATACATAATTAGGCCAGGCTTCTATTGTAGATAATATAAATAATGAAAGCATTGAATTTCCTATATTATCAAAATTTATATCATGTGTTTTCCATTCTGCGCCTTAAATTTAATTACACTTTTTTTTTTTTACTTATAATATTTTTATATTTTTATATATTACTTTTTATTTATCATAATCATATAAACTATATGTATTTCCGTCCTAAGGAAAATCACAGTAATTAAGTTTACCTTATAAAAAATTCATTCCTAATATTGCAAACATTATCCTTTTTTTTTTTTTTTTTTTTTTTAAAAAAAAAAAATACCATATCAATAAAACTACTAATACAACATTTAAAATGCCACTTACTGATTCAATTAATGCGGTAACAATTAATTTCATACTTTTATTTTATTATATAAATCTTAAGGGTCTTAATGTTCTTAAAAGTCTTATAATTTTAAATGAACTTAAATTAATACTATCCAAACACGCATCCACGAGACTTGAAACTACAATAAATAAATCTAACCATGACCAACCTTCCCTCAAATAAGAATTATCATCTAAAATAAATCCATAAGCAATTGATTTAAATAATAACTCAATAGTATAGAATCCTGTAAATGCAATTCCTATTTATGAACTTATATGAGCTTCTAAAACCTCTTTTGGATTCGAAAAATCATTGAAATAAGTATCAATTATAAGATTAAATGAACTTAAAATAATAGAACTATTAATTGATAAATGAATATATATATTAATATAAATATATATATATATATATATATATATATATATATATATATTTATATCTAAATATATATATATATATTTTATTTTTCTATTTATATTTTTTTTTTTTTTATTTTTAAACTTTTTTATATTAATAGTTGTTTATATTTTCATATATTTTTTACATAAAATATTTTTAAAATATTATCTAATTTTAATAAATAATATATTTAATAATTAACAAATTAATTACCCCATGATAACATCTTCGAATTTTTCATGTTTAATTATTCTATAGCATATTTTTCTAAATACATTTTATTTAGAAAATAAATAATATGATTTTTCGCATGCAATGTTTTCGAAATATATGAAATTTTTCTTTCCTTTAATATTAAATAATAGTTTTTTTTTTTGAATATTTTCCTATTTTTATTATTCTATTTCTTAATCTTTAATTTTCGATTAACTTCTTTTAAAAGATTAAATTTTGTTCATTTATTAAGATTTGTTGAAAGATTATAATTAATTCATATTAGCTGAAGATAATCCGACATTACTTTAATTAAATTAAGTTGTTGTCTCAGACTAAAAATCTACATCAATATCTTATTATATTTCAATTCCTTATTGCCATTCTAGAGTTTCTTCTTTGCATACATCATTATCAAAGGAGTCCATAACTATAGCCAAAAGAAGATTAAGTAATACATAATTTCCGATAAAAATCCATGAAACAAAATAAAGAATTGTTGCAAATTTATTCTGGGTAGTTCTTAAGCAATTAATGAGTATCTCATTCCAGTTTTCCATAGTCATAACATCAAAAACAGTTAAAAAGGCATTCGAAAAAGAATCGAAATTCATCCGAATTATTTCTTTATTAAATTAAAAAAGTCCACCAAAAATTTACATCCCAAGTAATGAGTAAATAAAAATAAATAAAAAAAGCAATAATAATATATATATAAAAGACTATATAGATGAACTTATAGCTATTATTATTATTTTCATAAATTATAATGATCGAATTAATCTAGTTACTCTTAAAACTCTAAAAACTCTTAATACTCTAATTGATCTAAATGCACTTATTCCTGTACTACTTTCTAAAAATATTAACTCTACTAATGATAATACAACTATTATGAAATCAAATATATTCATTTTATCAGTTAAATATTCATAAATTCCTAATCCTAATAGTTTTAATCCCATGTCAATAGTAAATATTATAGTAAAAATATAATTAAATTACTGTATTAATGACTCTTCTGTTTAAATAATATATATATATATATATATATATATATATATATATATATATATATATATATATATATATATATATATATATATATTTATTTTAATGCTTACATTCTTTATTTACTAACCCATCTAAAGTTAAAATAAAAGTATTAGTAACAACACAAATCATAATAAAATTATCAAAAAAGAAAGAATTTACAATATTTTTCATCTATCTTCTTATTTCTTATATTTTTCCATAAATACCCTCCTCATATAATTCTAGATCTTTACTTTAATAATTTAAAGACTTTAAAACACAATCAATAGCTCTTTCGCTTTTATTAAAGCAACTTTAAGGTAGAGTATCTTCTCCTGACCAATATAAATCTATAACAAATCTCTATTGTTCAGCTTTTTACATAAATAAATTAAATATATCATTATAATCCTTATCTATAGGTTAGATTAATAATTTTTGATTTGGATCTTCTTGATTTTATTATTCCAGATTTTTTTTTTCTTATTCATTTAATATGTTTGTTTGTGTTTATTATTATTAAATTATTTTAATGTTATCATTTACACTGATATTTGTATAATTATTAGTTTTATAACTTTAAAAGTTAGCTCTTGATTCTATATTTTATATATTTTCTTCTATTTAATTATTTTTTTTCTAATCATCAAATTCTACTCCAAATAATAACTAAAATGCCTTTTATATATCCCATTATTATACGGGGACATCTCCTTAAGCTTCGTTCTTTTTACTTGATTTTGATTATGTAGTTTATTTATATATTTACTTTTATTATTATGTCGTTTGTTATTCTTTATAAGGAATTTTCGATAATTGTTATTATTATCGCTTTTTTATATCATTTTCTGATTCTTGATTTGAATCATTTAAGTTTTCTGAGATTTTTAATAATTAATTATTAAATTTTTAGAAATTATTATTATTTTCTTCTTTAAATGATTGCTAATCTTACAAATTATATTTCAATATAATACCAACATTACTTGAAGGAAAATTATCTACTTTTGCACTTTCTTAAATCATAAGCTACGTATGTTTTCTTGAAAAACAGGGTAATATAGTTTTACTTCCTTTAAATTATAAATATATATATATATATATATATATATATATTTATATATTTATATATTTATATATATTTATTTTTAAATTTATTTAATAACAATATTAATATTATTTATATTTATAATATATATTATTTATAATTTATTTTTTATTATAATTAACTTTAAATATATTCTTTTTGTATAAATTATCTTTTAATCGGTTAATAATTAATTTTGAATTTTGTTTCTTTTAATCTTTTTAAATTTTTTTCATTTTTAATTTAATCTTGTATTTTTTTCTTTTTGGGTAATATATCATCTAAATCACTAGTATAGTATTTATTATAAAGTATTCGAGCTTTCATATATTTAGGATTTAAAATATTTTAATATCTTTAAATTTCTATTTCTTCATTATTTTAATTTATTTGATTTACTCTGTAATCTATAAAGCTTTTTTCGCTTTTTTAATTTGTTTAGTTATTATTTTTTAATTTTTAAGAATTAAATATCATTGAATTTACCTTGTTTTTTTATTTGTTTCATAATATTTTTTTATTTTAATGTATAAAAATATATTTACATCTTATTATATTGCATATGATTCCTCCTTATATTCATGATTTTTATCAGAAACAACATATAATTGCACAAATTCATCATCATCAAAGAGTATTTCTTATTAATTTAGTTTATGTTTTTAATTAAAATTACCTTATTCAATTTCAATTTCTTGTTTTTTTTTAATTGTCTATATATTGGGAGATTAAATTGTGTCTTTTCTATTATTTCTATTACTCTAAGGAGTTTAATAAAATATACTAATTTTTCTACCTGCTTACTCTTTTTAAGGTAAACTTATGTTCTTAGGATTTCTTAAATCTTAAAATTTTAAATTATTTTTTTTAAATTATAATTTATTTTAGTTTTTTTTTTCTTGTTCAAATAATATAGTTTTTTCTCTTTATTAAATGTATTCTAAGAAATCAAATTCTGATTTGTCTTTTATTTAGGTTTTTTATTGTTTATGATTTTGTCTTATATTTGTTTTTTTTCTTTAATTATTTTAATTAAATTAATGCTAAAATTTTTAAGAACTTAACATATTTGTTTCTTATATATTGCCTATTTTTTAGTTCTTCTATTATTCTGCTTAATTTACATTTTTTTAAGAAGTAATTGATTTTTGTGAATATTCCATATTTTTTTCAGCAGGACTTAGTTAATTTAGATTTACTATTTTTTTTATAATTTTATTTATATTTTTATTTTACATTATTGGCTAATTTTCTATTCTCTTAAAAAAGGTTATAACTATTATAATAACATGTTTCTTTAAATTTCAAAGTTAAATTATTTAATTTTTTTATCTTCATATACTTTATTTTTTTATAATTGTTAATTTATATTAATACCTTATTAAATTATCATTTTTAATTATTGATTGTTATTATTATTTTATAATTAAATATTTTAAATTATATAATTATTAAATTCATTACCGTTTCTGTCTTTAAAATCATTATTATTATTCAATAGATTATCTTTTTAAATATTATTATTATCTTTTTTCATTTATTAATTTTGTATAATACCTGCATTATTATCTTTCATTTAAATATTGATTTAAATATTGGTCTTTTAATTTTCGTCAATTTATAATTATTCACTATTCCTTTTATTATCATTATTTAATTTATCATCTTTTAACTTATTTTCATTTAAATTAATAATCTTATTTTCTTCTTAAATCTTATTTTAACTATTTAAACCATTACAATTTTATTTATTTGAATTATAAAGTCCTAACTTAATCAATTATTTTAAATTATAGCATTTTATTTAATTTGCTTAATTAAATTCATCTTCAGCTACAACATTATAATTATCATCATTTTATTTTGCTGACTCATTATATTTAACAGTAATAATAGCCTAAGTTAAATTCGTTAAAAAGAATGACCCAATAAAAATGAGAGATAAGAAATAAAAAATTGCAAAAACAGTGAATGTTTTTTAAATAGAAATCATAATATAATTCCATCCTTCTAAAGTCACAATTTAAAACGCAGTAAGAAAGCTCCATCCAAAAGTATCGAAATTTGTTACTTCATAATTTGGATTATTCATCCCTTTTGCACAAATGAACTATTTCCCGCTAAATTCGTTATATATTCTGCAATCACTACTATCTTGACAATAGGCTAGATCACTTTCTAAAATATGTATAATTCCTGTTTCTTTATCCATACATCTTTTTTTTAACATTCCTGAGAATAATTATAATCCTCCAATTGCAAACACTATATAAAAAAATAATAAAACAATTAATGAATCTTTCAACAAAGATACAGATTTAAATAACGCAATAAGGATTTTTCTCAAACTCTTTACGTTCGATATTGTCCTTAAAGGTCTCAAAACTCTCAAAGATCTCAACGAACTTAGATCTAAATTTGTATTAGAATTATTTGTTTATAAAGCATAAGGTAAATATCCTGAAAGTAATATAGTGAAATCCAAAACATTCCAAGGGTCTCTCATATAGGCTCCTTAGTTAAATAAAAAACCTAATCCGACAACTTTCAAAACCATTTCTATGGAATAAATTATTAATAATTTATTTTCTAATTCTTTATTGTTATCTTATATTGTTTTTGGATCATCAAATGCAAGTATGATAGAATTAAATACAATAACTACTAAACTAGTAAATTCGAAGATTTTATGTGTGATAATGGAGTAGCATATATATGATATCAAACATTTCACGAAAAGTATATTTATATAAACTTTATGAAATATTGTCTTTGGTTTATAGGATTTTAATTTCTCAAATTCGTTCATTTCTACAACATCTAGCATATATTTTTCGCTTTAAATTTCAATCATTTAATTATATTCCTTATCTAATTCTTTTATTATATCTCCTTCTAAAATTTCTGATTTTTTTTCTTTTTACCAATCCAGTGATGATGGTTTTCTAGTTTTTCTTCGTTTTATTTTACTTATTCTGTTTTTTCTTTATTTTTTAAATAATCATTTACTATTTATCGTTCGAGTATATCTTCTTCTGTTTCATCATTAAATATATTTTTAATTATATATTCATACATTTTTTTTTTCTTTTTTTAAATATTTTTTTTTTTTTTTTTTTTTTTGTTACATTTTCTTTTTATTTATTAAGTTATTTTATTTATGAATTTTCTAAAAAGTTCATGTCGTCAGTTTTAGCCATATTCTATACTTGTAATTAATTTAATGTTGATTTTTTAACTTTTTGATATTAGGTCTCTTCTTCGCTTTCATTATAATCACTCATCTAATCACTTTAATAGTCTTTTTTTGGAAGCTTAAATAACGCTTTTAGTTTACTTATTAAATCTATTTTTTTAATTAATTAATAAATATTATTAAATAATTAATATGAATATAATAATGTTTTTTTATCATTACCTTATTTATCTTCCATAATTTTTATTGTTAAATTATTTTTATTTATTTATATATATATATATATATATATATATATATATATATATATATATATATATATATAAATTATTATTATTTTATTAAACTGAAAAAATAAAGAGATAAATTTAATTAAAAATTTTAAAATAAAAATAAAATATATAATAAAAAAAAAAAAAAAAACAGTAATAATAATTATAAATATAAAATATAATAAAAATTAAAATTAAAATTTTTCACATATTTAATTAAAAATCAATTTTTTCACATATTTAATTAATTATCATCATAAAAATTACAATTATTATTAATATTTTCATTTTCATCATCTACGTAATTTAATTCTTCATTTTAACCTACATCAATTAATCTTTATAATTCACAAACAAGTAATTTATGAGCAATCAAAATGGACATTTAAATTGACAAATAATCTTTTTATGTTATTCTTTAAATTTCTTTTCTATTATCTTCATCATCGTCATCTTTTTTTTATTAATTTAAGCTTTCTTAATCGTTAAAAACTTAATATTTTTTAAAAATTCTTTCTTGTAGTTTAAAGACAATTTCTTTCCATTTTTTAAATGTTTTTTTTTCAATATAAGGTTTTAGATTATCAATTTTAAATAAGACACTTTATTTTTCCTCTTTCCAATTATTTTTAAACTCTTAAAATTTTTATTCAACTTCATATTCTTCATATATATCAATAAATTTTCTTTAGGTTTTTTCAAAAAAAAGTTAGTTTTGTAAACATAAACTTGTAAACTTATCAAAAGATAGACTTATTTCATCTTCTCCGTTTATATTATCTGAATATTCCTCAAACATTTTTAATACTTTTGTAATAATAAATTTATCGCTTTCCAAAAAGCGAAACAATGTTAAAAATTCGTTTAAATTAATACTACCATTTCCATCCAAATCACATGCAAAAAATGCATTTTTTACAAATTCTTTAGTTTATTTAACTGCTTGACTATATTTATTTAATACATTAACTAAAAAAATATCTAAATCGATAACTTTGTTTCCTTTAAAATCATTTTCTTTATTATTTTCAATGAAAACTTTTAATTCTTATATATCTTAATATTATAAAACACCTTCTAATTTAACTTTTAAATAATCTAATGCTCTCAAGTAATGAACATATATTTTCGAATCTTATTCGTTATAAGGAATTGATGATCCCATATTGGAAACTTAGGTTATATAATACCATCCTTACATGAATTTATCCATTTCATCTACAGTATAGTTTTCTTTTTGATTAGGAAGTATATTTATTAGCTTTGCAAAGATGAAAATTCTGTATATTTATAAATAATTAAGTACATTCATTAAAAAATATAGGAATTTTTATTCAGCAACATTTTTAAAACCGTAGGTTTTTATAAATTTGTTAAAAAATAAAATTGAAAGTTCTAAATCGGATTATATTTTTCCTTCCTGGATTAATTTATTTCTTTCTTCATAAACATAAGTTATGTTCTTTAAAACATTTTTTAAAGGCAAAATTTAAGTTAATTTCTTAGGCATTATAATTTCTCTTATTTTTCGAGTTAAAACAATACCTGAGTGTACTTTTTTATCATTTTAGCTTAATTTTACATTTGTTTTAATTTATGCTTATAAAGTATTATTGTTTATACCAGTACATTGTTTTTCTTTTAATTTTTTTTATATTTTCTTTTTTAAGTATTCTTATGGATTTAAATCTTCCTCGAAATTTTAGTCTATTTCTTTTGGTAATAACCACCTAATAGATGTAAATGTAGTAAAATAAGTCTCTACTATGTTTTTATGTGTTTCTTTTTATGTTTATTAAATATGTTTGAACATTCTATAGGTTAAATTGAATAATTATTAAAGAATCTTTATAATTTATATTTATAAATTAAAGTGAATAATATATATATATATATATATATATATATATATATATATATATATATTTACTCCTAATAAATGCTAGATTGATTATTAATAATTGTTTGATTTTTCAGTTTCAAGGTTATATAGTTTGACAATTTACAAAATTTAATATTAAAGTTCTTTAAGATTTTCAGAATTCAAATTGGAAAAAAAAATATTGCTATTATTAAAATAATCTTGATTAGATTCTAATGAGTTATTTTGTTTTTTTTATTAATCTTCATAAAATTTAGAAATATTATTATATTCTTATATACGACTTTCATTTACAATAAATTTACTTTTTGTATGTTATTTATACTAATTATTTAATCTATTGTCTTAATTGTTTTCTTCCGATAAAAACGAAATTGAGTTTTTTCTTAACTATTTTTTACCTTATATAGTATTTTATTATTATTAAATTTATTAATCTATTTCTTCTTATAAAAAACATTTTTTTTGATCTCGGTTTAAAAATCCTATAAGTACATTCAAATTTTTCTAAAAAAGCTAAAGATCATTCAGAGAAATTTATTTTTATTTTTTCTAAAAAGACAACCCTTATAAAATTTTAACAATAGAAGGTCTATTATTATAATTATGTTCAGAATAATAGTTTTTGTTTTCAAAATGTAATTCATTTTATTATTAAAATTATTATTATTATTATTATTATTATTATTATTATTATTAATAGTATTAATTATTATTATTCATTATATATGTATATGTATTTATTTCTTATTTTAAACATTCTTAATCATATATTTAATCTAATTTTTCATTATTTAATATTAGATCGAATTTGTTGTTTATTAAATTTGTATATGTTTGAGTCATTATATTTTTTTTTGGATTTATAGGTTACGTTATTTTAGTGTCAGTTTAGCATTCTTTATGAAAATACAAAACAGGTAGTACTTCTTTTATATCTTTAATCATTACTTCCTGACAATCAACCTTAGTTATAAGTTCTGTTTCTTTG